TGTCTAACTATGTGTCCTAGCTTTGCAAGTTCGCACTTGATATATTCCAAAGGAGTTGTGTAATGTAGATCCTTTAGCACATTTTTATAGGCACACTGCTCTTTTATCTGATATATGTGAAAATCTACTTTAATATCAGTAAGTGCTCTGACTACTTTTCTGTAGCCATCACTATCGTTAAGCATAACGGGTCTTTACCCACCGTTTTTTCAATCATGTTATGTAGAATGTTATCCACAAAAAGAGGCGGCAGCTTAGGTGCTGCTCTGCGGGTGTTTCAGTAGACATTTCTATATTTTGGGCATTATCTGGAGAAATGTTTGCCGGTAAAGCGTAACGATTTGAATTACTTACAGCTTGAGAAGTGGCCTTATATGCATTTGTTTTGGCTTTCTGATATACATTTCCCTGTTTAACCGAAGATTCAGAATCAATATTTTCTACTTCAGAGCTCTTTGGGGCTCGTTTTTCTGCTGCCAACTTCGGAGGATTGCATTGCGCCTAATAGGTGCAGACAATCATTTCATAGGTGAGTGAAAGGGGACAACGCCCGAGGACTTCGCAAGTTGGTCTTCCAACTCAGGTTGCGACATTATACGTTTGCCGAACTGGGAATAGCCAGTTTAGTGATAAGTTATTATATTTGTATGCAATTAAAATTAAATTTCTTTGCAAAAATATTCTTTCACAAAATTATATAAAATAAAATATTATTCACAAGAGCTTATTTAAAAATGATTGATTCAAATATTTGTTCATTGCAAAAAGATTTAATTTTCAAAATCTGATCTGAAAGTTGTTATTTTTTGGCTTTTAAACATATATTTTATAGACATGGCGTAAGTTAAACCAATGCACAGTCATTTTGCCCATAGGCCAAAGATAAAAAAAAACATGTTAAACAAGTAAGGAAGGGTTAAGTTCGGATGTAACCGAACATTTTATACTCTCGCGAAGTCAAATGGTATACTCGTTTGAGATTTCTTTGTGGATTGGCTGATATTTTCGGTAGAAGGTCAACTTTAGGCACTGGGGTCCAAATATATAGTACTTAGGGGCTTGAACAGTTTCGGTTCGATTTAGAGAATTTTTGGTCACAAGGTGGCATACATTAAACGTATTATTCACGCAAAGTTTTACCCCGATATAATCATTGTTGCTTGATATGCATAGTGGAAAGTAAAAGAATCAGATGGAATTGAAAATGGTGTTATATGGGAAATAGGCGTGGTTGTAGTCCGGTTTAGCCCATTTTCGCAATATAACATAGAAATATGAAAAGAACGTTATGCACCGAATTTGGTTGAAATCGGTTAAGCAGATCCCAAGATATGGGTTGTCACCTAAAAGTGGGCTGTGCCACGCCCACTATCTAATTTTGAACGCGGTTCCTATAAAGTCATCTAATACCATCCCTGAGATAAAATTTAATGTCTCTGGCGTGTTTAATGCTTGATTTATCGCGCTTTTAGTAGTTTTTAACAGTACCGTTATATGGGGAGTGGGCGGAGATTTTCACACTGTAGGTAGAGGTTCTAAAAACATTTGCTTCCAGTGAATTTTGTTATTATAGCATTAGCAGTTTAGGAGATATGCACATTAAACCTAATGGAGGCGGGACCACGCCCATTTTTTAAAAAAAATGTTAACTGCAGATACCCCTCCCTAATGTGATCCTGTGTACCAAACAACAGTCTTGTATCTTATTGCGGAGCTTAGTTATGGCAATTTATTTGTTTTTGATTAATGGCGTTTTGTGGGCGTGGCAGTGGTCCGATTACGCCCATCTGCAATACCAACCGTCTCACGGTACCAAGAAACATGTTTAGCAAATTTCATAAAGATATCTCAATTTTTACTCAAGTTACAGCTTGCACGAACGGACAGACGGACAGATATATAAATGACCAGGATGAAGAGACGAGTTGAAATCCGGGTGACTGTTCGTCCGTCCGTGCAAGCGATAACTTGAGTAAATTTGAGAAACTTGGTACATATGTATGTTCCTTGACACCCAAGGGGGGTTGGTATTGCAGATGCGCGTAATCGGACCATTGCCACGCCCACAAAACTCCATTAATCGTGAACCAATAAATTGCCATAACTAAGCTCCACAATAAGATACAAGGCTGTTGTTTAGTACAACGAATAGAATTAGGAAAGGGCATCTATAGTTGCAAATTTGTTTTAAAAAAGTAGGCATGGTCCCACCTCTTAACATGTTTAATGTACATATCTCCTAAACCACTCAAACTATAATTCGCCGAGGATAAATCTTAATGAATTCGGATTATAACCCCGCCCACATCTCATATAACGGTTTTGTTAAAAACTTATAAAAGTGCCATAAATCTATAAGTAAATGCGCCAGAAACATAAAGTTTTACACCCGAGACGGCATGAAAGGGCTTTATAGGAGTCGATGTCAAATTTGGTGAAAACACATATTTCGGTTACAGTGCAAAATTAGGCAAAATCAGACAAAAACCACGCCTACTTTTCATATAACACAATTTGAAATTTTATCTGATTCTTTCACTTTTCAGTGTACAAATTAAGAACCAATCAATGGATCCAAAACTTTGCACGAATATTGCCTTTAGAGTGTGCCACCTTATGACCAAAAATTGCCACATCGGAGCAAACCTGTTCAATCCCCCAGATACCGAATATGTGGACCACAATTCTAATTGCAAACTTTTGTAAGTTGCAAGAGTATGACATGTTCGGTTACACATGAACTTAGCCCTTCATTACTTGTTTATTTATGAATTGTTTGAACTTTTCATATAAATAAAATATAAACTATCGTATATTTTAAGTTAGATCACTCCGGTAGTTTAGCGGCTTACCCCAAACAAACAACGGACTCGTAATAAATCTATATCTATACTTCTATACTAATATTATAAATGCGAAAGTCCGTTTGTTTGTTACGCTTTTACGCAAAAACTACTTAACCGATCATCATGAAACTTTGTACACATACTCTTGGAGGTGTCATAATGGACATAGGATACTTTTTATTAAAAAATCTATAAATTTTTTACGGATTATTATAAAAATTATTTTGGAGGATATATATATGTTTGTAAAATAAATTTAAAAATTATGAATTTTGAAAAAAAAAAGTTTGGCAGATATGCTTGTTTGTCGAAAAATTTAAAAATGAAAGAAAACACAAATGTATAAAAACCGTAAATCAGAGAAATAACACCAATACTATTAGATACTCTTATATACTTTAAAAATGCCTCGAAAGCGGAAATCTGCGCTATCAAGAAATTCTTCGTTGGTCCGTAAAGCTAAAGTTGCACGAAATCAAGAATCTGAAGTTCACGCAGAGCTGAGAAGACAACAGCAAGCAGAGCGACAACGTGTTTTGAGAGCAGCTGAAACTTCTCATCAGACACGAGTACGTTCAGAAAGACAAGCTAAGCAGCAGGAAGCTAAAAGAGCGACGGAAACGCAAGAACAACTGCAGGCAAGAAGAATTCATGATGCAGAAGTAAGAACCACGCGTCGTCGAAATTTCATGACTAAGGATTGGTCTATATTTAATGGTACTGGTTTTCAATATGATCCTTTAGTTGAGTATTCTAATCATCCTGCTGGAATAAGCTGCAGCACTGGTAAAGTTTCACTTCCATTACTTGGTGAACCAGAATAACCTTTAAAAACTTTATTGTTTAGTGTTACAGATGAGTCAAAACGATTTCTAAGTAAAATAAGGAAATATAATTCTTGCTTAAAATGACATCCTTCGGAGTTGATAAAGTGATAAGAATGCCTGGATTTTCACCAACCTCTACTGTACAAGGAAAAATATATCATCACATTGGATCACTATTTCCAGGAAATAATGATCAGCATAAATTTTTGCAGGTGTATTTTATGGGTGATGAACAAAATGAAGTAAATCGTCGTTGCCAGTATATAGATTGAGTAGAAAGAGAAATATTATTAAAAATTCAACGAATGTTACACAGTCACAATGATTTGGTGAAGATTTTTAAAAGTGAGATAGACAACTGGCCTTCAGATAATTACAAAGTTGTCATTCATGCTGATCGAAGTCCACGTGGTGAACATGAGAGGCGTTGTAATGCACCGATGGTCAATAAAGTTTCTGTTTTGGTTACTGGTGACCCGTGCTCACCTCGAGACATAGTGTTACGAGCACATGATAATGCGTTAAAGCGCGTAGTTGATACTCATAAATTTTATGACGCTTTGCAGTATCCATTAATTTTCAGTAAAGGTGAATCAGGATATCATTTCAATATTTCAGTCATCAATCCGACAACGAACGAGCCAATTCCAAATAAAAAAGTAAAATACTTATTTGATGAATTCGATGCGAGCGAAGCCGCGGGTAAAAGCTAGTAATAATATAAATAAAACAACCAAAAAACATTTGAAAATTTATCATGCTTAAAATAATATTTATAGCATAACATGGCAACACCCTTTACCAAATTTGGACCTTTTTTGAGGCATTTGGCGGATTTAGTAGTAAGATATTTGAGGGAACCTGTGTCAAATGCCTATTTTTTTGCTCCGAGTTTCCCTCATTCTATTACATTCTTATCTGCAATTTCTATCATTCTAAAAGAGTTTGCTCTGGGAAAACAACCTAACGTGGTACACATACAAGGTATAGGTCCCAGGAGAAGGCTCTTCTTGACCATGGGAATGTTTCTTCAGAGATCGACTTATAGCTCAAATATCTGGAGGATCGTATCATCATCTGTAGTGATGATGTGCCTGTCAGCACAGGCGATGATGGACCGACTGTAGGTCCTGTGTCGTCTAACAAAATTTCAAACAATGCTTCTGAAACACTGTGCTCGGAATAGGGTTCAACGAATTCTTCCCGCTAGGTTCTCAGAAAAATGGTATTCGGTATATCAAGATATAAAAATATCAACGAGGAGCAGTAAATTGCTATGTATTTTTTTTTAATCAATCATTTTAAAATGAAAAAAAATTCAACTTACCTGAACGTAAAAACAATAGCTAATGGCATAATGAAAATCTCAGCAAAAGCTGCAGCCTTCAAAATATTACTGGCTTGGAACTCAACCAGCGAAATCAAAAACCTTGCTCCCCACCAAGAGTTTTGGCCAATAATCTATTTGAAGAATATAACCAAATAACTCTATTATTAAAACATGTCTATAAAATCGTAATTTACTCACGTCTAATAATTTTAATGAGTAACTGGATGCATGTAATACGGCGAACAAAACAATTGGAATGAGAATTAGTAACGTAGGTTGCACATTAAAAAATATTAACGAAAACATAAGATAATGGCAGGAATCTTCAATAAAGAGCCGGGCCAAAAATTCCCTCGTAAATGCAAACGAAGGTAAACGCTGATGTAGGCGTAGTGCTGAAGTCGCTGCATTCGATAGTAATACTTTATTAAATGAACTCTGTTGATTACTGTAAATTAAACAGTTAAAAGATTGAACACACATAAATAATCTAAATTTATTTAACCTAATTAGCGGTACCAAGTAGCTGAATGTAAAGAGTACTGTGAGTATGCGTGTAGCCCACATAGCTACGTCGACTTTATTTGTTCGAATATGCTGTTGCATTTTTTCCAATACAGTGCCATTACTATCTTGTTGTTGAGGTGGTGTAGATGAAAAGGTGGAACTGTTATTCTGTTGATTATTACTTGCGTCGTCACTCATTTTATTTCTTCTGTAAAAATAAGATAATATTTAAAATTGTTGGTATGTTATTATTCGTATCATATTAATGAATAAAAAATAAATCAATACATAAAGTAAGAGCTGCACCACCAACACATACAGATAACTAATAACGCGTTTTCATAATATACGCTCACCGGACATTTATCCATTGAAATTTTATTAAGTTTATCAAAATATGACAAGTTTATTAGTTGCTATTCGTAACCGAGGTAAAAGGAAACTTTTTGGACAAATAAATCGTCTATGCTGCGGAAAACTTGAGCTGCAGAAACTTTTATTATAATCTCGCAACATGTTGCTACAGAGTATAATAGTTTTGTTCACCTAACGGTTGTTTGTATCACCTAAAACTAATCGAGTTAGATATAGGGTTATGTATATATAAATGATCAGGATGAAGAGACGAGTTGAAATTCGGGTGACTGTCTGTCCGTCCGTCCGTCTGTCCGTCCGTGCAAGCTGTAACTTGAGTAAAAATTGAGATATCTTTATGAAACTTGGTACACATGTTTCTTAGTACAGTAAGACAGTTGGTATTGCAGATGGGCGTAATCGGACCACTGCCACGCCCACAAAACGCCGTTAATCAAAAACAAATAAATTGTCATAACTAAGCTCCGCAATAAGATACAAGACTGTTATTTGGTACACGAGATCACATTAGGGAGGGGCATCTGCATTTAAAATTTTTTTTTAAGTGGGCGTGGTCCCGCCCCTAATGGGTTTAATGTGCATATCTCCTAAGCTACTAAAGCTATAATAACAAAATTCACTGGAAGCAAATGTTTTTAGCACCTCTACCTACGGTGTGGTGAAATGGGTGAAATCGGGTGACAACCCCGCCCACTCCTCATGTAGCGGTACTGTTAAAAACTACTAAAAGCGCGATAAATCAAGCACTAAACACGCCAGAGACATTAAATTTTATCTCAGGGATGGTATGAGATGACTTTATAGGAACCGCGTTCAAAATTAGACAGTGGGCGTGACACCGCCCACTTTTAGGTGAAAACCCATGTCTTGGGATCTTTTTAACCGATTTTAACCAAATTTGGTACATAACATTCTTTTTATATTTCTATGTTATGGTGCGAGAATGGGTGAAATCGGATTACAACCCCGCCTATTTTCCATATGACACCATTTTATATTCCACTTGATTCTTTCACTTTCCACTATGCAAATCAAGCAACAATGATTATATCGGCGTAAGTCTTTGCGTGAATAATACGTTTAAAGTATGCCACTTTGGGACCAAAAATTCTCTAAATCGAACCAAAACTGTTCAAGCCCCTAGGTACTGAATATGTGGACCCCAGTACTTATAGTTGACTTTTTACCGTAAATATCGGCCATTGTGCAAGATATATAATAGAAATTCATATAATAAAATAAATAAATGAAACTATCGATATTAGTATGTCTTTGTTTCAAAAATATCTAATATAAATATTTTTGAACTTCCGCGTGACTTTATACCGCATATGTGAGTTATCTCAATGAAAATGAGAGAGCATGTTTTACTCATAACAAGATCAAATCGGGTGAAAATTTTCCTTAGCCCCAATGTAACTAATATCAGGATTTTCTCGTGTAGTTAATATCACATTCATACTTATGTATATCTCATTTCAAGCAATAAAACTGAGACTAAGTTTATGGCCTTTAATATAAATCAAGAAGATACCAAATTTGATTGTAATTTAATCACGATATCATTTAATAATGGATGTTTAATTCAACATTTTTTAATATACGGTTTGGAGGAATTTTCTGGTCTTTGATTTTCCCAGCTCACATGTACTACTTATGGTATAATTTTTTTTGTCAATTTGATAATTTTATGAAATTAAATGGACAGTTTTTCTTAAAAATAATGTATATCGCTGCATATGAATGAAATTGGTCTAGACTTTGTTTAAACCTTATAACCCTAATATACTGATTTCCGCTCCTCTGGAACAACAGCAACCTCATATACCCCATATATTAAATCTAACCCCTTTGGTTCAGTTTATATCACATATACCATGTTTGAGTTAAATAGCTTCTTTTTATAAAAGTTAGCATTTCGGAGAAAAAAATAGTATTGACACAAAATAAATCTTTGATCAATAACATAAGTTAATAAGATACCAAATAATAATCGAGTAATGAATGTTGAATTCTTTCGCAACATTTTTATACTTTCGCAACATGCTGCAACAGAGTATAGTTTTGTTCACCAAAGAGTTGTTTCCATCACCTAAAGTGATAGATATAGATTTCTATATACATATATTTCTTTTAATATTTGGTGATAATCAGTGGTTAGGTATCTTTTCTCAGCCATCATGTTGAACTTATTATAAAATATACCAAACAACAATGCTAAAAAATTTTCTTAGAGTGCTGGACTTTGTAGAAACAAGTAAGGAAGGGCTAAGTTCGGATGTAACCGAACATTTTATACTCTCGCAAGGTCAAATGGTATACTCGTTTGAGATTTCTTTGTGGATTGACTGATATTTTCGGTAGAAGGTCAACTATAGGCACTGGGGTCTACATATTTAGTACTTAGGGGTTTGAACAGTTTTGGTTCGATTTAGACAATTTTTGGCCGCAAGGTGGCATACTTTAATTGCATTATTCACGCAAAGTTTTACCCCGATATAATCATTTTTACCTGATTTGCATAGTGGAATGTGAAAGAATCAGATGGAATTGAAAATGGTGTTACATGGGAAGTAAGCGTGGTTGTAGTCCGATTTCGCCCATTTTCGCACTATGACATAGAAACATGAAAAGAACGTTATGCACCGAATTTGGTTGAAATCGGTTGAGCAGATCTCAAGATATGGGTTTTCACCTAAAAGTGGGCTGTGCCACGCCCACTGTCTAATTTTAAACGCGGTTCCTATAAAGTCATCTTATACCATCTCAGAGATAAAATTTAATGTCTCTGGCGTGTTTAGTGCTTGACTTATCGCGCTTTTAGTAGTTTTTAACAGTACCGTTATATGGGGAGTGGGCGGAGTTGCCACCCGATTTCAACTATTTTCACACCGTCAATAGAAGTGCTAAAAACATTTGCTTCCAGTGAATTTTGTTATTATAGCATTAGCGGTTTAGGAGATATGCACATTAAACCTATAAGAGGCGGGATCACGCCCAAAAAAAAATTTTAACTGCAGATGCCCCTCCCTAATGTGATCCTGTGTACCAAATAACAGTCTTGTATCTTATTGCGGAGCTTAGTTATGGCAAGTTATTTGTTTTTGATTAATGGCGTTTTGTGAGCGTGGCAGTGGTCCGATTACGCCCATCTGCAATACCAACCGTCTCACGGTACCATGAAACATGTCTACCAAGTTTCATAAAGATATCTCAATTTTTACTCAAGTTAGAGCTTGCACGGACGGACGGACAGACAGTCACCCGGATTTCAACTCGTCTCTTCATCCTGATCATTTAGATATATATAACCCTATATCTAACTCGATTAATTTTAGGTGATACAAACAACCGTTAGGTGAACAAAACTATTATACTCTGTAGCAACAGGTTGCGAGAGTATAAAAATTGCATGAAATAAATATTAGTAATATAGTATCAAAAGGGCTAAAAACCCTTTTTATGTGGTTATAAATAAACTGCGACCATCGGTTTACATGCTACTATCTATTATTTCAGTTTTGCGACACATTTTAATATGAAGGTCATGAGGTGAACTGTAAACTCAAAAAAATTACATTTTTACCTAGCGCCGTTGGCAGCTTATGAAAGGTTTAGATATTAAGACAGAAAGAAGAAAATCTACATACCTGCTCTACATATGTTTATACCCTACTTAATTATATGTAAGTTATTGTTAATTTAGCCTTCATGGGTAGACCCTTCAAAATAGGTACCATAGGTCCCCCTGTTTAAGAAAGCGTTTAACAAAAGTAATTTACGGAGGGATTTTCCGAGAACTTAATTTCAATATAATGAAATAAACTACTAATCTCTAAAATATAAATATAACTAAATATTATGTATTATTATGTTAGTGAATAGCTAAGTAATATATAGGTATACAAAAGTACGTAAGCTGTACCAACATGTTGCAAGAGTATAATAAATATCAATACACTGTGTTTGTAGTTTCAGTTTCACTAGATGTCTTTACAAGCAAAGTGTTTTATTCAAACTAATTTTAGTGTATTACACAGTACAGTGTATAGTGACGAGCAATAGCATAGCAAGGACTTACAAGGAATTACAGTGAAAGAGAGCAGCACCTAGGATCCAACTTTTAACACCCGGACGGACTGAATTATATCTTTATATAGAGATAGTGAGCAGTCACAAAATACTGTAAGTCACGCTAATCGTAGATTAGATTCCGATGTACGTCTGTCCGAACAAATTATCAATACAAATCAACATAGAACCAGGCGGGAAAATCTCGAGGTACGGTCTTTTGAACAAAATTTAAATACTTTTCAACATAGAACAAGGCGGCAAGATCCGCAAATTCGCTCTGAAGAGCAAATAAGAGATACTTGAGGTCATAGGTCTCGGCGTGAAGACCCCGAGGTTCGATCTGTTGAGCAAATTGCAAATACTGTTCAACATAGAACAAGGCGGCAAGATCCACAAATTCGCTCTGAAGAGCAAATAAAAAAATCCTCGAGGTCATAGATCTTGTCGAGAAAATCCTGAGGTACGTTATGATGAACAAAGTAGGAACACTAGGGATCATAGAGAACTTCGCGCAAGAAATCCTGAGTATCGGAATTTAGAGCGCATTCGTGATCAAATGCAAAGGGAACACGCAAGAAGAAATCCTGTAATAAGGAGAGAGGAGCGTGATAGAGAAACACAACGTCGACAGCTTAGAAGGAGGGGTATGAGGGAAGAAATTTTGAATCAGAGACGTCTTAGACAAGGTCAAGTTCGCCTTCGTAGAGATAACCCACTCAATAGACAAATTGAAAACCAAAGGCAGTCCCAACGAATCCG